TTATGTAAATTAGTGACCAGATTTTTTAAAAACCACTGAAATCTGTCCCTCATTGTATTTTTTTTAATATTTATTTTTTAGTTGTAGCTGGGCACAATATCTTTATTTTATTTATTTTTATGTGGTGCTGAGGATCAAACCCAGGGCCTCAAATGTGCTAGGTGAGCGCTCTACTGCTGAGCCACAACCCCAGCCCTCACAAGAGGTTGTATTAAGGACCTCAGAGAAAAAATAATGTATATTCCCCAGGAACAGAGAGTTGTGTTGCATGAAAATCAGTTTTAGCAATAAATGGAAAAAAWTTTTTAAATCATCTGAAAAGTGATAGGGCCAAATGTTAAATGTGTATACCACTAAGATAGAAAGTAATCAAAGAACTTTGGGCTGGGGTTGTAGCTGGGTGGCAGAGCGCTTGCCTCGCATGCATGAGGCACTGGGTTCGATCCTTAGCATCACATTAAATAAATAAATAAATTTTTTTTTTCTTAAAGTAATCAAAGAACTTTTTAAAGTCAACCCAGGAAAATAAAATTTACAGTCTAAATTATAAGAAGTCTGGAGGTATGGGCAGGATTAATAAAGCAACCAGAGTACAATACTAAAAAAAATGAACAAAATTAAATATACCTAATATGTTTAAATATAGTAAGTATTCCTACAATATGATGGACAGAAAAAAAAAGTTTAAATACAAGAATGTTATAATGGAATAAAAATCAAAATCTAAGCAAATCAGAGTTCTGGTGGTATGATATAAGCCCATTACTCATGATTAAAGGTATCAATGAACAGAGTCCTGAACTTTAAACCCCTGAGTTATTAAAACTCTTAGAACAACAACAACAAATTGCTACCAAGAGCTGGAAAAGCAGGAAAGTTTCACATTTAAAATTTATCAAAATTTGATCCTGTTTTCACTAACAAAGGAGCTACCTCACCAATTCTCTAGTTTCAGTTGTTTAAAGAAAGGCAAATGTAATTTGTTACATTGCATACAGGAGGCTAGCAATTAACTGTCATTTCTCTTACTCTTCTTCAAAAGATACAACCACCAAAAACAACTGATGAAAATCCTAAATTACGCACTAAACAAACAAACAAAAAAAAAACTAACAAAAAGATCCAAAAGTTAAGAAAAGAAAGGCAGAGAGTTTTCATTATTTGCATATTATAAACATTTCTTAATTTAAGATATTTAGTAATGTTTCTTCACCAATGGGGAATGTATTTATAGGAAGGAGTTAATTTTAACACAATCCCCTTAGAAACAAGATGTCCCAGCATCAGTGATTAAGACTTTTACCTTTATCTAATTAACATTGTACAAGTTCTCTTTCAAATTCGTTTTTATTTAAACAAACTATACCATTTTTCCCTGTGGTACATCCCTAGATGTAAGACTAGAGTTAGGGCTGGGGATGTGGCTCAAGCGGTAACACGCTCGCCTGGCATGCGTGGGGCGCTGGGTTCGATCCTCAGCAACCACATAAAAATAAAATACAGATGTTGTGCCCACCGAAAACTGAAAAATAAATATTTAAAAAACTCTTTCTCTCTCTCTCTCTCTCTCTCTCTCTAAAAAAAAAAAAAAAAGACTAGAGTTAGGGGAATTAAATGCAAAGTGTGCACTAGGCACTAGAGGATGACTCCATGTACTGACTGTATCACTACTTAACAACCTTTGGAATAAACTAAATAATTTACAACTACAGAAATATGTATTTAAAGGTGCACTAAGAAACAAATATTTGTGTGGATAAAACTCTGCATGTTCACCATTTTGGAACAAAATTAACTTGTCTCATTAATGAAGACAGAAACTGGTTTAATTATATACACTGAAGTATAATCAAATTAACTGGGCTGGGGTTGTGGCTCAATGATAGAGCACTTGCCTAGCAAGTGTAAGGCAATGGTTCGATACTCAGCACCACATAAAAAATAAATAAAATTATTGTGTCCTTYTACAACTAAAATTTTGTCAAAAAGAAAATCAAATTAACTAATCCTGGCTACAGGACTATATCATGAAACAATTTCAGCAAAGGTCCAAAGTTCAACTTCCTTTACTACTGGAAAAATACAAAGTTCAAATTCAAGTGACAACTTTTCTCTTGGAAGAAAAATAAACACACAGGGTCATAACTAAGAAACAGGTGACAACTTTTGCCAATGAATAGAAGGCACTAAAGATTCTTCTAGAAGCAGGAAAAGTCCTGATGTTGAGTTCTGTATTAACACTAAAACAATAAGAAATTCCCCAATTCTCCCAGGAAAAGTCTTAGATTAGGAACCAAGTTTTAAAGAGCTATTTTTCACTTACCCATTAAAGATTATAACAAAATTTTTTAAAAGAAGGAAAAAAAGCTCTAAATCAAAACCTGAGGCACTGACTGCGTCCAGTTCATCTTTCTGCCATGAACTTTGTCAGAAGCCAATATGAGATCATTCCCCATGAATATTACATCTTACAGAAATGGTAACATTTCATTCTTACAATATGCTAGCTTCTAAATGACATGTTGTGAATACAGTTTAACAAAGAGTTACCAGTTGAGATAAGAGACAGAGTGGGAAGTGCACTCTACTTATGAAATTGAAAAATCCATTTTACAAAGTTTAAAGGGAAAAAGTGAGCAGAGGAAATTTCTTTTTAAATCTCTATACTCTGTATGTTCACCCTTTTCTAAATGAATAACAACAGTATAGAATCTCTGCCACCTCCGGAGATAATATTTATGCTGTTTTTAAGGAAAATCAAAGTTCTACAAATAACCTCCTCAAGTTCTTATTTAAAGTCTTGTGTTTAACCTGCAAAAAATCTGTTTCATAATAAATTTTATTTTTAAGCAAAGCCAGTTAATATAATACCTAACATGAAAAATCAAAATTTTTAAATGACAACTTGCTTAGAAACAAGAATATTAATTTCAGATGACATAGTGATTCCACTGTGACAGACACAGTGGAATCCACTTGAAATTAATGAYGCAGAGCCTGTCATAAAAAAATAAATAAGTATAGTATTCAGACTTATTAATGATCATAAAACATGCTGCAGCCATTTAATATGCTATTCCCTTCATTTTGGCTAAATATTTAAAATAGGAAAGTGCCTTTGGTTGTCAAGGGGGCAAAATTTTATTACTATAAAAATGGTAACTTCAGTTTGGGGCACCCAGTATGTTTACTCAACACAATTAACACCACTGCACACACTCTAAACCTTGAAATATTTTCTTAAATTTCATGTAAAGGTTGAAAAATGAATAACATACAAACAAGACTAATGCTAATTAAAGAGCTCTCTCTTTAGTCTACTAAAAGAATCAACATCATTTGGAATACACCAGCTTCCTTCCTCATTAACTTTAAGACTGTTTTTTACATGAGAATTATACTCTTAGCCATGTCCCAACTAATCAAAACAAAGCAATGATGCAGATGTTCTCTTGATTCATTGACTCATGGGATCTGAACTAAATGGCACCTAGCTAGTAAATGCTGCCTATATTGTACTTTGTATACTACTGGCTGAATTACAACCCCATAAGTCTCTTCTGTACCCTTCACATATGGCTTTAGAAGTTAGGGCTAAGAAAGAATCGTACAACTTGAAAACTAAAGGCTGTTTAAAGTCAGCCAGAGTTCTAAAAAATATTAACAAAACTTCACATAATCCCATTAACTTAAAATGAATATGACAGAATAGGCTATATGAAGAAAATCTTAAGATTGTAGGTCTATGTGAGTGTGTGTGTATACATACCCACAATACACATATGTATACTGCATCACAAACAATCAGTTCATGTAAAGCTCAAGGACTTTTAAAGATATTTCCAAAGTTAGCTGCTGAGAATCAAAAAAAAAAAAAAAAATGTGAGCGAGACAGCATGTTAAATTCTTATGCAGAATTTTCTCGAATTTTGCAATGAAGGGATGAACTGATATCTAACCCATGTCACTATTAGATAGCTCATTGTTATTTTTTACACTATATATTAATAGAACACATTCAATCAAACAGTTTGATTTCTAATAACGTTGTAACCATAATTCACCTACAGACATCTCAAATGACAGAACCACATTCTACCAATGCTGAAACAACAACATTCTCAACAATAAATTCATGAGACTACTACATACTACCAGATCTCACTGTACGCAGTCTGATCAATGGTTYGAAACTGGCAAGTAGGCTATAAAGGTAACGTGCTTTGCTGCAGATTTTACTAGCATAGAGACACCACAGCAACAGGGGATCTTTTTACCTACCGCTTCAACAAATTCTGTAAAATCAAAAGCTTTACAACAGCATTTACATAGCTAGGCACTTAGATTTTCCTTCAAAACCCTGACTCTATTCACCAGCTCCCCGCAAGAGCACACCACTGCCACATAGAACATATTGCATACCCTCGTCGGTACCCAGACACCTGAACCACTTGGACTGACAGAGTTTGGCTGTCAGCTCCGAGACATCTGCTGGTGTGCAAGAAACACTGAAAACAGCTAAACCCTCCCAGGTATTCTAAGTGGTAACCTTGGCACCAACTGTCTCCAATAGTAAAGACCTTTTTCCCTGTTGGAAGATGTACAAGATTTCACACACTCTCTCTCTCTCTCACACACACACACACACACACACACACACATACGGGGGGGGGGTCAATCTTAAGGCTCTTTTTCACAAAGACAGCCGCAAAGGGCTGGCATTCTGTAGTCAAAAACTGTTGTCTGCGTTGGGAAACAGATTACGAATTTAGGAAACCCAGCTGCCCGTTGCAATTTGGTGACAGCTCGCAGAGCAGCCCAGCCAAACCAGAGCTCAGTTTTCCTACGGGCAAAATGGGAATCACCAGCGACACCCCTCCCCCTCGCCAGGGGTCAGGCACACCCCAGAGGTCTCAGAGCACCCGGGATGAGAAGTGGTGGGGGTTGCCGCTTCTCCAGGACCACCCCCTACCCCGCGACCGACAGGCAGGGCCCGGTACCTGGCTTCACCGTCTTGAGACGGATGGGCTCGCGGAAGTGGCGGATGACAGCCAGGGTGTCCCGGTTGGTGAGCCCACTGACAGGCGTCCCGTTCACCTCCAGCAGCACATCCCCGGGGCTGGGCGCCTTGCCCGAGACGACGCAGCAGGTGCCCCCGCCGGGCTCCTCGCGGAGCCGCCCCAGGTAGGGGAACTCGCCGCGCTCGGCGCCTCCCCGGATCTCGGCGCCGAAGTCGCCCGGGGGCCCGGCCCAGGACACCGCGCACTCCTGCACCTTGCTGAGCCAGTGCTTCTTCTTCTTCAGCGTCTTCGACATCCCGAACCCCGCTGCACCATGGGGGAGACCCCGCGCGGGCGGCCGGGGCGCCGCTCCGGCCCCTTCTCAGCCCGGGGCCCCGAGCGGCCCACGCAGCCCGGCCAGGGGGGCCTCGCCGCTCCGGCCCCCCTAGACCACAGCCCGCTGAGGGTCCGGCCGCTCCGAACCCCGAGACGCCCCCCGGACGCCCCTCCTGGCCACGCTCCCCGGGGCTGGCCGGGCTCTGCAAGGGCCACCGCGGGTGAGGCTGAAGAAAGGAAACGGGAATGGTCCCCGGGCGGTTCCAGCAGGGGTTTCGGGCGGGGTCACTGCCGTCGGCTGGCCCCCGGGCTTGGCGCCCGAGCGGCGGGAAAGGCTGAGGCAGGGGGGCGGGGAGGCCGGGGAGGGAAGAGCCGGAACGGGAAAAATCCGTCGGGGGCGCGCAGAAGCGCGCGTAGAACCGTCGCCGGATCGACCGCGGCCGCTGCGGAGCCGGAGCGCGGAGACCAACGCCTGCCGGAGCTGCCAGGAAACTGCCGCTTTCAAACCCGCCGCAACCTCCTCCTCCCTCTTCCCCTCCCCCCGCCCTCGCCCATCCCTCCACCAGAGCCCCGCCCCCTCCCACCGCGCGGCGCCCGGCGCGCTGCCGTCACCGACCCGGCGCTTGGGAACGAGCCCAGCACTCTACTCTCGCGCCGGGGATTGGCCCCCGGCGGGAAGGGGGCGGATCCTCGGCGGGAATGAGGGCCGATGATTGGTTGGTGGGAGTGGAGGAGGCGGGCAATAGAATGACTGAAGTTTAGAGAGGGTGGAAAAAAGAAGTTTGGAGAGTGAGGGAGGGCGAGTGGGGAGGGGCTGGGGAGTGGAGTCGGACTGCGGGTCGCGGAGCTGCGAGAGGCCCTCCGCCCCGTGGGGGGAGCCAAGGAAAACTCGGGCACCAAGTAACCGAACTCCTCGAGGTGGGGGGCGTGGCTGGTCAACCCGGCGGAGATGGGGGCGGAGCCCGAGTGGGGCGCCGCCGAGTAGCCGGCGGCGTGCCTAGATTWCCAGACCCAGCCGAGTCCCGAGCGGCCTGAGGTGGCGGCGCCTTTGGAGTGGCTTSTTGTTACAACTTACATGGACTCAGTGTTGCTTTATTCGTTCATTTCCTCAAAAAATGTTACTGAAAGCCCGTGGAAGCACACTTTAGGAGTCCCGTTGATAGAAGGTCAAAGAGAGCCCTGCTGTGCGCCATCAGGCAAATGAGATAGCTCAGGATGGATGCTTGATTCAGAGAGGCTAAAAGCAAAGACGCTTATACCTAAATTCCCCAGATACTGTGAAGAGTACATCAGAAGCAGCATCTGCATAGTGCCTGGCAGAGGATTGATGCTTCTTAATATTTAGTAGCTGAGGATGACGACGATTTTTGTGTCAGGTGGAAATTGTGCTAGCTTTGGGGGTTCAAAGATGAAGAAATTAAGAGGCCCTTCTCATCAGGAGGTTGCAGTTTTCTGGAAGACCCCGACAAGTCAGCAGATCACCTAGGGTGGGAGTGGAGGTAGAAAGTGGTTTGGCAACTAGCCTCAAAGTCCTCCAACCTGAGTTGAGCCCTCGCAAGCTATTTACCTACTGTTTGACCTTAGCCAAATCTCTGCTTCAAGTTTACTCATCTGTGAAGGAGGAGGAGGGAAAAGTAGCACTAAATAGAGACCTGAGATCCCTCCCAGCGCTAATTTTTCAGAAACTCCTCCTGAGCCTTCCCTCCTTCGGAATTGACTCACACTTTTTCCTGTCTTTGGCATACTTTTAACCATCTCGTTTTAAAATCCTGTCCATTCTCACCCTAGAAGCCATCTTTTCCAGGTAGCCACCTCTGATTTCTTGCTCTTCCTGGGCCAAGTGTTTTCTCTGAGCAATGACACTTTGTTTCACTTTTGAGACATGACATTTATGTGGTCCRTCTTCCTTTAATGATTGCAGAAATCCTTTATTTAAACTGTGAATAACTCCACACGATCTCACCACATCTCAGACTGGACCAAGCTTCCACAGCTGCAGTGATTTCTTTCACACCATTGTATCAGTCAGGCTCCTGGCATGAAAAAAAATCGGCACTTTACAAAGAAGCACGCAGGGTGTGGGAAACCACAAGGCAAGTGTGGAACCCTGGGGCTACCAGCTCCTAGAACTGTGGAAGCCAGACTCAGGTGCTGAGGGCTGCCTGACTAGAGCCTGTGACCTTCAGTCACCTGTCGCAGTCAGCCTAAGTAATCACACAAGAAAGAAGCCAGAGATTTATGTGGTACTCCCCACCCTCCTCCATCCTGCTGATGCCTCCCAATGGCCAAATCCAACCAGAAGCCAGAGAGCAAGGAAGGCCTTTGATGCAGTCTGAATTAGCCAAGCCTCATGTTGAAGAAGCTGCATCTGGAGTGAAAAGGAGGAAATATTTAGCACAGATATCATGTGGATTGTTCAGATATTCCAGATCTGAGATAAAGTTATTTTTTTTAACAGTGACCTACGCTAATAGATTCCTAGATGAAATCTTGATAATCTTCACATCATCTATTTTTGCTGAAATTAGGTAAACATCTTTCCCTGTCTAGATTGTATCTCTTAAAATGCCTTTGGCCATAAGGAACAAAATATCTGATAAATAATAGTTTAAAACATGTGGTCATTTATTAGATCTTTAACATAAAATTCAAAGGTAGGTAGTTTCAAATTTAGTTGAGCAGCACAATTATGTCATCAAGGAGCCAAGTTCTTTCTGTGTTTGCTCTCTGCCATGTTATGCCTATTATTGGCTTTTATCATCAAGATTGTCACCTCTTAATTACAGTGTGGCTGCCACAACTCCAGACATCACATCTTCAGAGGTTGTTGTATGAAGAAGGGAAAGGAAGGAAATTTCTCCTCACATTTTTATGAGGGAGAAAACTATTTCCTAGATTGCTCCCCAGTAGAATCCCCCTTTTTGGCTAGAAAAATGGTCAGATGCCCACCCTAGACTAGACACTGACAAAGGAATATCAGATTGCCACAGTTCATGAGTTGCCCCCACACAAAATAAGGGCTGTGTTTGAGARAAGAAAGGGAGACTAGTTGTTCAATAAATATCTACCCACAGTGTGTCTGCCACATGCCTTGACCACAAATTAATTCTCAGGCAGAGAACTACAGTGAAATTTTATATTTCAGTTAAATAAACTAATTTATTGTCTAAAACTGGTATTACCCTTTTATATATAATCGTGCATTTTTTTGCCCATAGATACATTAAATTGATCAAATGAATCCAGCCTAAATCCACAAACCGGGAGTATTAAAAATCAACACACATTGGAAAGGGAAGTTAGTTAAGCAGTCAGACGTCAAGTTTGTTTCCCAGAGCAGAACAGAGAGAACACTGAATGAAATAGAAAATTCCAAGAGCCCCATCTTTCAGTGTTCAGTTTAACTCCACCTCCTAACCAGAGCTGCTTGAGTTCCTACAGTGAGGGATGTCACTGCGTCCAGCTCCGGAGCCAAGAACTTGTTTCTATCTAGAAGTGTTATCTTTCCCAAGAGAACTCAAGACCCCTGAGGGCAGCTTCCCTTTCTGATTCATCCTGTGACTCTTGCTGGGGTGGCCGAGCTGTCTGTAGCATTGCCAGCACACACTGCCGCCCCCCTACATTCAGCAAATACAGCGTGTGTCATGAGCAGCCATGCTCGGTGCWGGTTTATGGCCATGAACCGACTTACAAGGTTCCTCCTTTTATGGGGAAGAAGACAACAAGCTTGAGATGAGTGCAGGATCAAGATAGTGTCAGGCAGTAATAAATATCACTATAATAAAAAAGGAGATGAAGTGAATGACACGGTGGGGTGGTTAGAAGAAGCMCAGGTTCCGCTGGAGGGCTCAGAGAAGGTGCCATGGAGAAAGTGGTAACTGAGCTGAGACCCAAGTGACAAAGACAAGGGAGCCACRGGAAGACCCCAGTCCAGCCTTACCCAGGACCTCACCAAGCCCCCAGRCACTGTGTGTCTGATGAGAGGAACAGAGTGCTAACGTGGCTGGAGGTGCCCATGGAGGAGAGTGGTGGGAAATGAGAGGCCGCGTCACAGAAAGCCTTGTCAGCCACATGAGGAATCTGGATTTCAATCGAGCACAGTGAGAAGTTTCGAGAAGATCTGGGAAGTGTTTTAGACCTGATGGTTGTGACTCTGATTGCTCTGTTGAGAAGGATGGTAGGGGGTGTGGAGTCGGGGGGAACCAGGGAAGCCAGGTGGAAAGTGGGGTGTTCTGATGTGCATACTCTGTGGTCATCCATGGTCTCTAGTTCTGACTCCCTCCCTGAGACAGCCATACATACTAAAATCTCTCTTCCCCAAGACAGATCATATGAACTCTGGTCTTACTGCCTTAGTGTTTGGAACTGGCCATAAAGAAACTCTCTAAACATAGATAATACCCCCCTTTCTGAAGGGGTCCTGCCCCATACCCAGGAGAATGGAATGCTACACAGAGGCCAGGGAGAATCTGCACAGACAGGCCTTGCTGGGTCTGCCACTCCGCCTATTGCACTGGATCACACTATTTGTGTCCAGTCACATACAGCGTGTGTCATGAGCAGCCATGCTAGGTGCTGTAAAAAGTCACCTTTTTACACTGGTGTCTATGTGTCAGTCTGTGAAAACAGGTCTCCATAAAACCCCAAAGAACGCAGCATTGGGGGATTCTTGCAGAGAGAGACAGGAGACCAAGGCTTCCAGTAGAAAGCATGCATCAGTGCCAACACTGGCTCAGCAGATTTGCATCCAAAGGCTGAGCCCTGAGCTCAGCTGGGACATTGCCTGATATAACCTTGGTTAGTTTCCTTTAGATGTTAGGGCCTTTGTCTCCCATATATGGTAACAAACATTTTGATTAGGTATTCTATGCTACAAAGTCGCAACAGAATTACCCACACAAACATAGACACTGACTGTGCCTTGTTGCCTTGTCCTTTATCTTAGGAGATCCCTCTGTTCCGGGTGGGCTGTTACCACAAGGATTCRGAGACCTTGGAAGTTCTTAGAGGGTGGTACACCCAGAGAGGACTGGAAGCTCCATGCCCCATATCTTCTCCTTCGCACCTCTTCATCAGAATCTTTTTTGTAAAATCCTTTATAATAAACCAATAAACATGCTTGTTTCTCCAATTTCTGTAAGAAACTGGCAGGGGTC